TTTTTTTTTAGAAATAGCCTTTGCACAGCCAGCCTTGTACTCTTCTGGGTTCAAAAAACTGTCGTCCATAAAATGTATAATAAAGTGCTTTTGCTTTAGCTGAAATACACAGCGTCTCCCTGACATGGCTGCATTAACACTACTGCTGTTCCTGAAACCACGCTTTCTTTCTTTGCGTGCACATTTGGGCGGTGTTATGCAAATCTTCGCACATCGTGACGTAGACATGTGGGGCGTGTTAGAACGAGCCGTTTTAGGTAGGTGTGGCTGACTTTTAACTTTTATAAAGAATATCTCTTTGGATTTGAGACTTTAGTGTTTGCAACTTTACAGATCTTCTTTATGCACCAAGAGCTTGTAACACTCCAAAGAGAAAGGAAAAATTGAAATTGCATCATATGACCCCTTTAATAATACTAAAATAATACTGTATCCGGTATCTTAGACATATTTTTTTTACTGTGTTTGCTGCAGAGCATTATGGGATTACCTCCTCTGCAAAGGATGCATGTGTTTATAATAAACAATTAATAAATATTACTAGTATATATATATATATATATATATATATATAGTATTATTAGTGTTGTCAAAAGGTTGAAAAATAAACAATAATAACAACCAATTAAAAAATTAATAAAAATAACTGAATAAATGGGAAAAAAAACACAAACTAAAATTAAAATGAAAACTGAGTATTTACAAAATAAAAATTCTAAATATTAATTAAAACTATAATAGTATCTAAATAATACTAAAATAACACTGATAAGAAAAGACTCGCTCTGTTTCTCATCCACAGCGTAGAGTCGTCTGACCTGAACTGGAAGAAAAAGAAAAGCGGAGGCATCAAGATCATCTGTCAGTCGGAGACGAGGGATTTCTCAGCGATGGCTTTCATCACCGATCACGTTAACGCTCTCATAGAGCAGTGGTTTCCTGGTGAGGACGCCTCTAGATGTTGTTCTCAAACGCTATAGATCTCTGATATATTAAATCTCGTGCACAGATCTATACGGTAGCCTGGATATAATACAGACATTCCCAGTGAATGCATGAGCTGATCAAATGTTTACCTTCAGTGCAGTTAAGAGTACTCTTCCATGCACCATGAGCTGTTTCCATTGCAACTTGCAGCGTTAATACAGAATGTGCATTTTTGGGACATTTAAACGGCTTCAAATGGGGAACATAGAGTCTTAATTATCTGTTTTTATAGTAATATTATTTTAACAATGACTAGACGGGACCTGTAGTAGTTATTCCAGTTGGAAGCAGTATTGAAAAACAGTACTAGACTAAGATGATAAAACATGAGTCTTGATGCAAAACAGAAGTACCAACATCACTTGTGGACATAAGACGGAAGTCCAACAGAAAACAAAACCGTGTCATGATGAAGGTGTCAACGTGATGATATCTTGACAAACATCCTAAACCCATAACCGTAGGTTGTTAATATGGACGTGCAGCTGTTTGTTGTTAATGTTGCACTGTGGGAGTTTGCTGTGCGTCAGTGCAGAGCCGCTTTACAGTATTAACACGCTGTCAGTCAGCAACACAGGTGCAGCACAAACACCAAGCACACACTGAACTGTATAGATGCGATCATGAGTCAGACTGTAGTTTTTGCAGCAGCAGTGATTGATTCATTAGTCCACATAAAGCCTGTTAATTACAGAACACACCTGCAACCCAGCAGCTCTTCACATGTGACACTGTCTGTGGGTAAACAAACTCACTGCTGTGTAAGATTATTAACACATGCATGTAATGCTGATTGTGTGTGTGTGTGTGTGTGTGTGTGTGAGTTTCAATCTAGATATTTTTCAGCCTTTTAACAACGCTGATACACCTGAGATATATGTATTTTCTCAGAAAGGGCTTAAATAAATTTTTTATTGATTGATTGATTTATATTTAGTTGATTTTTCATTATCTATATTCCATTATTATTATTATTATTATTATTATTATTATAGATTTATTTTTCAGCCTTTTGACAAAACTGAATATACAGCTCAATATGTATGTATTTTGCTGTATTTGGTGATTATTTATTTATTTATTTTTTCATGTATTATTATTAGTAGTAGTAGTATTATAGATGGCTTAAACGGGTGATTTGTTTATTTATTACTTTATTTATAGTGATCGTTTATTATTATTATTATTAGTATTATGGATGGCTTAAACGGGTGATTTGTTTATTTATTACTTTATTTATAGTGATCGTTTATTATTATTATTATTAGTATTATGGATGGCTTAAACGGGTGATTTGTTTATTTATTACTTTATTTATAGTGATCGTTTATTATTATTATTATAATTATTATTATTATTGATTTGTTTTATTTTTTAGTCTTTTAACAAAACAAAATACATCTTGATATTTATGTTTTGTTCAGAAATTACATAAAAGGGGGATTTTATTTATTTTTCATTTGGATATTTATTATTATTATTATTTATTTATTTATTTTTAAGCCTTATGACAACATTTAATATACATCTTGATATTTATATATTTGTTCAGATATGGCTTAAAAGGGTGTTTTTATTATTATTTAATATTATTAATTTTGTAATTTTTTATTTTAATTGGCTATTTATTATTTATTTATTATCATGTATTATTATTATTATCATTATTAGTTTATTTTTCAGCCTTTTGACAACATTCAGTATACATCTTGATGTCTTTGCTCAGAGAGGGGCTTTTTATATATTTTTTAATGTATTTAGTAATATTTATTTATCAATTGTCTGTTTAGCATTTTTATTTTGTTTTATTTCAGCCACGCAGTCACTGTAGCCACTTTTATTTATTTTAATAAATAAAAGTGGATTCAGTTAATTTTAATAATCATAAAAATCTGCCTTTTTCTCCTGAGCCGTTTTCATTAAGCCATGAATAATGTATTTTTATATAAGCATGAACACCATATATTTATGATTAACACGCACGTGATTATTTCTCCTTGTCCAGCGCTGACGGGCAGTGAGAGTGACGGCTCTCGTCTCATTGAGCAGTACGCACCCTGTCCGTACTGCAGCTCCGGACCCCGAGTGTCCGACCCGCTGCCTCTGTCCCGCTCCAGTCACAGCACCGTCCACTACTTCAACATGGAGGACTGCGTGCTGGCAGCCGTGGACAAGGAGCACATCACCTGCCCCAACCACCTCAAACAGCCCGTCCCGCTACAGGAGCTGGTGCCCGAGCTCTTCATGACCGACTTCCCTTCACGGTATGATAACAGTTATGCTTTTAACCAGCTTTTGACCTTTGTTTTTTTACATTGTCATACCAGTTTCTGTATGAAATAGTGTGTATAAAGTGACATAAACCAGTTAAAAACCACAAAACAAAACAAAATCACAGATCAAATCCATTGCCAATAAATGCAGATGTAAGTGCTGTTGTTTTCCCACCAAAATGATGTCACTTCCTGAAAGGTGATGTCATTGAGGAACTAGTTTTTGTTAGTTAGCAGGATGGAAAGTGATATTGAGGACGCAGGAACAACTTATAAATTGGTTAACAGTTAGAGTAGATGTTTATGTTAAATGTTTAGATTTTAGTAAGAAAACTGAAGAAAATTAAAAAGAAAAAAGAAACCTTTATTTCATCCTACCAGTTTCCAGATTAAATGGTTTAATGTGACAAAAGCCAGCTAAAAACCACAAAACATCACAGGATTCATCACATTCAAATCTAATATCAGTGTTGTCATTTCCTGGAGGAACAACCTGTAAATGGATTCAAAATTAGACTACATGTTTTGATAAATGTTTCGATTCAAGTAAGGAAATTGAAACAACAACTGGAATATTTCTTAGTAAATTGCCTGTTTTTTGGTAATAGAATAAAAGTAATTGTATCTTTTGGTTTGCATCCATCTAGTTACAAATAAAAAGAAAAAACTTAAATTAATTTGTATTTAATGCATTTAATTGACAGTTATTTAATAATATATACACCTTTTTTCCATTGAAGTACCAGCAAAAATATTTATTTTTATTTATTATTATATTATATTATAAACAACGTGAATGTACGGAAATGTCTGTGCCTGTGCATAAATACAATGTGCGATCAAGAGCACTCACGCATTATTATAACAGACGCGTGCTTACTGTACGACTCCTGTACGCCACTGCTATCGCCTTAACCTTGATTGCAGTCTTCATCCATCAAAACTTTACTAGCAGAAATTGTGCTTCAGTAATTTTGCGTTAATTGTGTTAAATTATTTTAACGCGTTAAGGATTGTAAAATGAATCGTATGCATTAACGCATTAACGATGACAGCCCTAATATATATATATATATATATATATGAATGTATTAATTATTTATAATAAATTATAGAAATTATTTCAATTTATATAAATGTGAAATCAAACGTGCAGACATGGTCAGAACATATCAATAGGTAATAGTGTTATGCAATAAAAAATTACTCAATAATATTACATAATAAGGATGAAATAATATTTGTGTGTGTAATATTTTTTTATGCAGACTATTGAGTCATTAGCTTAGTCACTTATGTGGTTTGATTTCAGTCAGGATGCTGCCTATGTGTGAAAAAAACAATCCACGGAATTACGGGAATATGTTTCTAATACAGTTTGGAATTACTAATAAGGTCGAGCTAAATCGCTTTACTCACAAATCGTGACCTTTCAACTTTCTCTTTGAAGAGACGTTATACCCGGCCTGTTGTGAATACCAGTCCTAATGAGCTTTAACTTGTTTTGACATGATCAGCAGTTTTTGTTTACTTGCAGATAAACTTTATTTATTCAGACTAACAACTGCATCAGCATTTTTCCATCTTACTCTTAAACCGTAAGTGTGGTGGTGCGGTAAAACTGGGACATTTGTGCATCGGCAGAGTGACCAAAATCTGACCAGAATATAGTTATTTTTCCTGGAAATTCAGCATGAGATTTAATCATCATGATAATCATTCCTATTTTTGGACAATACAATCAATTAAACATTTCATAAATTAATGGTTTGTCATCTTCACATTTTCAAAAACTCAAGTTAAAAACAAAAGTCAATCATAATCATGCAAGAATGCATGTTTTTGGATAACACAGCAAACTAAATACTTCACAAATAATTATTAAAAAGGGCTGCGTTTCCCAAAAGTCGATCATAACTCCATTGGTGACGATTATTCATACATATACAAATATCTGGTAAGTCTGACATCAGTGTTATTTATAGTATTATTTATATACTGTTATAGTTTTTATTGATATTTTGAATAAGCTTATATATTTTTTTATATTTTCAGTTGTTACGTCTTTTGTCATTTTTATTAATTTACTTTTTTATTATATATACTAAACACAAAATGTGACAGAGTGCAGAAAAAGATTATAAATAGTTACATGTATAACTATTTTAAGCATTATATTAGTATTGCCTACATAATATTGGTATTACAATAAGTAATTAAGTATTATCTATGTGTTTTTTTCACAAATGAAAAGTATCATTAGAAAATAGAGCAATTTATATATTTCTATAATTATAAATTATAAATAATGATCACATATACACAGAATATAAATATATAACTGTAATTGTAATTTTTTATTGCATGACACTATTTTCTTTTGACAATTTTTTTTTGCAATTTTTCAATAGCGAAAAATAAATAAATAATAGATAAAAATAAATTTAAAATAATACTTACTTACCTACAATACTTATACTAATATAATGCTTATGTAATATTTATATGCATAAATATTTATAATATTTTCTGACACATTTTGTGCTTGTTGCAATGCATTATGGGGTTGCATGATAAAAAACAATAATTTTAAATTTGGTCCAAAATGAGTTTTCAAGTAATTCAGCATAAATTTGCAGTCTACAAGTGCTGTTTACTTAGCTCACTTGAGTTTAGAACAGAGCCAATGTGTCACAATATTACTAGGTTTAAAAAAAATGTTTTTTTATTAAATCATAAATATGTAAATCATAAATATGTTATTATGAAATCCAAATCAGCCCATTCTTAATGCATGTTCCTGATTTTAATACGAACAATTTATCACATGTATAAATTCATGGCATCACAAATTCATCTTTTTACTTCATTTCTGATAAAGTCAAGTCTTGCCCTAGATTTTTTCCATTAAAGTGGGACGTGAACATGTTTCAACTAGAGTTGCATTGGATATAACTAACAGCTTGCAGCTCAGTTTCCCAAGAAACATACAAAACTAAACCTTGAATGCACTGTAAGTCACTTCTGATGAAAGCTTTTGCCAAATGCACAAATGTAGTAACTGTGAGATTTATCAATTCATAACGATGCGATTTTTGACTCCAATATAAAGTATGACGTCCCAGCGGGACTTTTATTCAGGCCTGTGTCGCAGAGGAACCTCTTCAAAGAGATTTGTTTGACGTGGCTCGCAGTTCAAACCCACAGATTCTGCTTCCATTTTAACTTCAGAATTAATAATCCAATTTATGTGATGAATCACAACCGCACAGAAAACACACGCGTCATGCAGAGACAAGAGCACGGCGGCCCACAGAAAGCTTGTTTATATGTGTGCTATAACTCAAGCCTAACCCACTCTGATTCAGCTCCATTAAACACATGTAAGCACTGGTTATTAGGACCAGGTGTGCAGTGTTTGCACTGACTACAAAACCTACATGCTACATGCTAGCAGATGCTCAGTGCAGCACATATACTGGATATATATATAGTATAGTATATATGTATAATACGTATTGTTCAAATGTTTGGGTTGGGTTTTTTGAAAGAAGTCTCTTATGCTCACTAAGGCTGCAATATATTACATTTGCATTTGTTTAGTTTAATTATAATGTATTAATTATATTTAATATAATTAGTATATATCATTTATATAATCATTTATTTATTTATTTGTTTTATTTCAGTTTTAGTAATTAGTACAACTTTACTTGCTTAAGTTAGCTGCCAAGGCTAGTCTGTTTTATTTTAATTTTTTTTATTTCCCCCCCCCAATATTTTATTTCAGTTTTATGTCAGTTAACAAAAATGATTTAATAATTTCAGTTAACAACAGCAACACTGCCTGGCATCAGATTAAAATCAGTTTCACATCACGAAACACTCGAATTAAAAACTAAATGTTTTCATGAGCTTCATCCCAACAGCTGTGTGGCCCGGAGATGTCTTTAATTATACAGAAGGGATGAATGAGTTTACCAATTATTTATGTGATTATGAAATCAGCATAATCCTCTTGGCTTGATGTCTTATAAATGAGTGTTTCCTGTTAATATCTTTGCCGCAAGTTTGTTTCTCACACTCATAAGGAAGTGGTGTGGTAGGAGAGCGTAGAAAGCATGTGTGCGTGCGATCAGCCCGCGGAGGCGGTTCAAAGCACATCAGATGAAATGATGTTCCCATATGGAGCTTTAATGGGAATGATTAGGAATGACGGCTGACTAAATGGACTCGTTTTGCGTTGACAGACATTGGGTTTGATTCACAGCAGCCACAAGAGAGAACAAAGCTGTCGGCTAATGATAGAGATCTTACAAAATGTCAAAAGTCAGAATGCATGTTTAGTTTGGGGTTACAAAGATTTTTCTCATGTTTTGAAAGAAGTCTCTTGGGCTCACTGAGGCAGTGCTTTTTTTTTTTAAATACAGTAAAAACAGTAATATTGTGAAATATTTGTACAAATATGAATAAAAATATTCTTATATATTTCAGTGCAAAGCTGAATTTTCAGCATCATTACTCCAGTCTTCAGTGTCACATGATCCTTCAGAAATCATTATAATATGCTGATTTGCTGCTCGAGAAACATTAATGATTATCAATGTTGAAAACAATTGTGCTGCTTCATATTTTTGTGAAAAACAACGATGACATAGAAATTAAATATAATTACATGATATGTATATCATACATTTTAAAATAGTTATAATAAATAGAATATTTGTGATTTTTATCACTATAATAAATTTTTGTCAATTACAATTATAATTATTTGCATTTAATTAAATATGAATTGATAAAATGCAAAATTAATTGAAAAATATATGCATATGTATATTGCTTCATGTGTGTGGATAGATAGATAGATAGATAGATAGACAGACAGACAGACAGACAGAGAGACAGGCAGACAGACAGACAGACAGACAGACAGATAGACAGATAGATAGATAGATAGATAGACAGACAGACAGACAGACACAGACAGACAGACAGACAGACAGACAGATAGATAGATAGATAGATAGATAGACACACAAACTACGGTAAAATTGTGGGATCAGTAAGATATTTATTTATTTATTTCTTTTTTAATGAGGGTTCTTCTGCTCGTCAACGCTGCATTTATTTGATCAAAAATACATTAAAGACAGGAATATTGTGAAATATTATTAAAGTTTTAAACAACTGCTTTCTATTGTAATATATTTTAAAATGTAATTTATTCCTGTGATCAAAGCTGAATTTTAAGCATCATTACTCCAGTCTTCAGTGTCACATGATCCTTCAGAAATCAGTCTAATATACTGATTTATTATCAATGGAAAAAGTTGTGCTGCTTAATGTATTTTTTGGAGCCTGTGATGCTTTTTTCATTATTTTTTGATGAATAAAAACTTTTTTTTTAAAAAGTAGAAATCTTCTGTACCAATATGAGTCACACATACATACACATGTGGTCAGAGCATCTCTATGTGTGCTTCAGTTTGTTCCTGTTGAAGAGTGACCTGCAGTGCAGTGAAGATGCAGCAGATATCCTGGGACAGGGTGGCAGCGGCACCATCATCTACAGAGCCAAATACAGAGGCCATCCGGTGGCCATTAAACGCTTCCACTTCAAGAAATGCAAACAGCAGTCGCTCAACAGCAGCACAGGTACGTCACGCTCCTCTACTGCCCCTGCACTTCCTCCCAAACCTGCCTCTGTTATCTTTAGATCGTCCCGCTCGCCGTGCGTTCGCATTGGACTGATTGGAGAGTCGGAGGTGAAAAGTAAGCCGTGTGTTCCTGCAGGCGCACGTAAGGTCAGAGGTCAAGTGCTGTCGTTTTATTCAAGGCTCGCAGCGGGAAGCACAGCGGCTCTGACTGATGGAATTTCCTGTTAACAGAGACACGCTAATCCTCGCCGGATTTCTCCCGTTGTGTCTTTCTCCGATCCAAAACCTACTGAGCTGCAGACTTTAATGAGACTTGTGCTAAAAATCCCCAGTGAAGAGACTTAATTCGAGAGAAATTCTCTGAAAACATGTTATTGTCTTACACAGTTTGGCTTCTTTCTTTTTTCTGTTTGGCTTTTAAGGAAGTTTAGATAATTTTACCATAAATTAAAGACGAATTATATATATATACTTATATATAT